ACGATTTACATCCGATTTTAATCGCGCGTGATGCAACCTACCGAGCTTAATAAGTTAACGAACCGAAGTCGCGCCGTATTTGGACCGGCCGCGTCGACCGGGCCCACGAGATGGGAAAACCTGTTGAATTTTCGTCACAGATCCGCGTTGTACTCGGTCGACGCGACGAGTCCTCCTTTTTTTCGCGCGCTTCGTTAACCGAAACGGAGTGGTACGCTTGTAACGAGCGTCTTTCTTTCGCAAGGCGTCGCGGAAGAAGGAAACTCGTCGAAAAGAGAACGGTCGGCGACGAATGAAACTGGTACGGACGGTGTTCGGTCGGTTCGCACGAGGCGGGGGCGCGCGGTAAGCTAACTACGACCCTGGCGCAGTTGGTCCTTATTCAGAGACGCGAGAGGCGAGAGAGGACGCGCGGGGGCCCCGGCATAACAAAGATCCATCGGGACCGGTTTCGTGTTCTGCCCTTTTTTACATTCCCCGAAGAGGCCCCGCCGAGCCGCGGGTGTGAAAACCGACACCCACCCACTTGTTATTTTGTCAAACACGAGCCCTGAAAATTATAGGAATCACGCGGTATCGTTGCTCTCCTCCTCGGAGCCCGCTCGCTTCAAATTATTCTCGATTGCACGCTCCCGCTCTTTCTCTCCCCCCACCACCTCTCTCTCTTTCTCTCGATACATTTTATAACCGTCAATTAAACGCGACGCGGACCGATCTCGTGACCCGCTACCGACGCACCGCGCCGTTTCCTCGCCGTCTCGGAATCGCGCTCCTTCCAGTCTTCTTCTCGTTCTCTTTCCGCTCGCGTTCGTCGCGTGTCCACCTCCGGATATTCGTGTTCCTAGCGTTCGCTGATACCGAACACGATAACGGCTGATTCGGCGACTCCTCCGTTCGGATGCTGGTTCGGTTGTTGCGTTGTTGAGCTAATTACAGCCTACGCTGCAAACGAATCGTCGATAAGCTCTCAGTATCTTGATCGAACCATCGGTTATTCAAGCGATTCCCACTTGACCATCGTGATTTCGATAATTCTTGAATCGCTCGTCGATCCGCTTTAGAATCGTTTGCGTTGCGCAATGGATCGCTTCACCGAGCAGATCGAGTTCATCCTGCGACGCTTTAGAATCGCGTTAAAGCGAGCTTCCGGAAATTGATTGGAGGCGGCCGAACCCCGCTAGTTGCGCGACGCGGTCGCGTAGTCTGCTCGGCAATTAATCCTGTAACAACGTGTTAGATTTTGAACATGATTTAACAAATATAAATGTTACTCGATTCAATCGAAGTCAAAGTAAATGTTGTTCTTCTGTAGTCTTATCACGTTCGCTACCAAGCGCTTATTTCGGTGACGGTCTCCTCTATTAGAATATTTCCTTCGATCCAATAAATCTAAATAAAATATTAGAAAAATAAAACTGTAACAAGTCATTGAGTTCCTAAATATAATGTCGTAGTTTATCATTTCTAATAACAATATCCATAGGATTAATTTCATTTTCATTATGTAAAATATAGGATTACGGCCGTCACAGATATGTTGGTAGCGAACGTGTTAACGACAAATTAGTCATATTCAATCAGAATTTAGGAAGATATCGCAGAGCAAGGGGTTAAACGCGATGCTGAGCGGCTACCTTACCTTCTCGCTGCCGAGCGGTTCGTACGGCCAACACGGCGAGAACGGCCCCGAGCAAATTGGATCGCCATGTAATTTCGCGCGGGACACTCGCGAAATTGTATCCGTTTCGTAATTAGAATCGATCCGCACCGCGCCGCGCCTTATCTCCGACGGAAACCTGTTTTCCCAACTCGCGGCTTCGGTTTTCTCGCCGTTCATTTCGCGTCGCGGTACCTGCGCCTGGAATTAATCAATCCCTTCGATCCCGACGGAAGTTCCATTAGTTCCCGACGAGACCCATTAATCCGTGTAATCGAATCTGTTCGGATGACTATATTAATCCGTTGCATTCGAAAGTTTTCAGCTAGAAATATTCAACGTTGCTCGACTAAACATCGACGATATTCGCTGAAACTAATTTAACGGTCGTTCGTGCGTAAATTAAGGAACGAAACCAATTTATTTCGATACTTCTCATATTAGCGGGTTGAATATCGTGGGGCTCACCGGTGATCCCCGAACAAATCGAATTATTATAGTTCGCTGGGTTAAACGATGATTATTTGAAAACATTTCTGTATTTATAATTAATGATACCTAATACGGTGACGTTAAGCCAGACGAACGCGCAATAATAATGAAATTCAGTTAAACGATTTAATCTTGTATTTTGCTCTATGAAATCGTGCTGCATTATTAGCCCTTTATGATCGGCACATTTTTCTGGTGACAGTACCAACTAGTAGAAGTAAATATATATATTTTCAAAGTTATTTTCCTGTAGGTGGTTTATAATAAATATATGGATATTAAAAATTTGTTGAAGTTGATGTGTTTTTTTGTATATGAATTCTGTAAAGAATAATAAATACAATACCTCTCGATCGTAAAATGACACTGTACTCAGAAAAAGAACATGTCGCCATATTGGCGGCACCGATTTCAAAAACAAATGTTAAATGTCGCCACTGTGGCGACATCAATCGCAAAGGGTTAAACATTATAATTTTACTATATTCAATCGAATGGCAACTACTTCTCCAGTTCAAAAATTTAATCCATACTTTAGCTGCGAGATTCGATTTTCTTATAAAATCTTTAATACTAAAACTACCAAATGGGTGAAAATGGTCTCATTTATTCTTTTATAATAATTGAAAGCATACAAATGCTTCTTCAAGAAATGTTTAAAATAGTTGATGCATTAATATACAAATTAAAATATAACTCAACTGACATGTTAATCAACACTTCTATGGTTTCTAGAAAAAAATGTTTAACCCTTTGCACTCGAGAGGCGATTCCTAGTCGCCATTTAATCGAACACCGTAAAATTGTAAAATTAAAATCTAATATTAAATTTTGTGTAAGGTATCAACACGTGAAACACAAAGATAAGATATTTCTGTCTCATAATTTATGCAAGATTGTTCTCTACATTAGTCGCAAATAATGTTATCGATATTTCATCAGGAAATAACGAATATTTATAGTATCGAAAATTATCGAGTGCAAAGGGTTAAAAATCAGTTCAACTGTAGTTCTAGTGTTAAGAAGAAGAAAGGAAGTAGATGTTTCGTAGCGATCGAGACGAGACGTAAACGCGTCCCCCGGCCCGCAAGAACATCCGAAACCGCCGACTGACCACACCGATTATTTCCAACATGGATGGTCCGTCGAGCGCGAGCAAGAAACGATCCCTCGAAAATTCGAAATCGGCCGGTTTCCCTCGGTATTCGGAGCGAGGCGGATTCGTGGGGGCGTTTTTTGCTTGTCGACCGTCAGCGCCCCTTGTACCCTTCACTATTATTCTTGCCGCAACCACCGCCACGGACGCGTCTTCGGCGTGTTCTTATTCCCGAGACCATCGTAATCCCAGACGATCTTGGAAGTAACACCAGTCCCAAAATAAGTACACTAAGCGATCGGAATTCGAACTTTCCTGCCGCTGAAATCGACTCTCCGTAACCTGGGGATGAAAATCGATGGGATTCATGGGCGAATTAATATAAATATAAATGCTGCCGTGACACACCGATTAGCGTCGTGATCGATGAGATACGACGCAAGATTCACCGCGAAAAGAATTCGCGGAGACTTTTCCCGTATCGGTTCGGAGAAAACGCTATCGATGCCCGAGTTACGACGCGATAATGGCTGGAAAGGTGAACGGGACTGATAAAGAGGTACACGCGTCGATCGTTCGCAATGCTAAGGATGATAAGCGAAGCTTTATTGTGATCCAGCAAAGGCGATCGAACGAAGAAAGAACTCAGAGCTTGATAGGCGGCAACGCAAGGGAAATAAATATTGAAGTTGCGGCGCCGTTCACGCAAATGACCGATAACCGTTAATCGCCGATAGAGCATCTTACGAAAGGATCATCGGACGCTGAAAATAGTCTTCGTTGGAAAATATACCGCGACATGAATGAATCCAACGTATGGGCCGAGGCGCGAGGTTCTCTGTTCCGTGCGGTCAACCGAGAGAGACAGAGAACGCGCGAGAGAGAGAGAGATAGAGAGAGACAGAGAGAGAGAGAGGGAGAGAGAGTGAACGTACCGAGGAGTAACGAAGAAAGAGGGAGAGAGAGAGAGAGAGAAAGAGTGCTAGAACACGTTAAACTCCTACTCCGTGTCCCGATAAGATCAAAAGCTTCGAACAGCAACGGGGGATAGCGAACGGAGGCTGTTTCGCGAAACGAAAGTATTTAATAGCCGACCCGCCATCCGCATTCTCAGGTGACAAACTCGTGCGGTTCTCACCTGGACCATTTTTGCACCACTGTGGAAACCACACCGGCCCGGTACACACACGCATACTCGTCGTTTAGCAAATAAGGCACTTGTTAAGTGCACCGTGGCTGGCGAGTCACGCCGTCCTGAGACGGGTTTCGCGCACTCCTTGACCATAAGCGGAATACAATACTTGCCTCTTATTCCTATACCATGCAGGGAACATGTACTCGCCGACTCGTTCGCTCTAACTATATTGGGAAAGTGAACGGTGCGCCTTTATCCCGCAACCTCAACACGCTGTAACGTGGTTCAATTCGAAAAATCGCCGATCTCTAAGCATTCGACGGTAAGCAGATGTTTCCTGGGTAGGAAGCCTAGGTGCGCAACAAGGTTCTAGGTACAGGATCAGTGTGGTATATTGCTAAGTCTGAAACGGACAGCCCTGTAAATAGGAAAACGTGTATGAAGAAGGATGTATTATGATATTACGGAGATGAAGGAAGGCAGACAAACGAAACAAGTCAATGGAGTATTTCGACGACTCTTTGGAACGCTGTAAGTTCGAGTTCGACAATCGGTGAAGTACAAGCGGCGGGGTTGAAACATTTTAGAATAACCCTACAGTTGCAAGGACAAAGAATTACTTTCTCTTGATTTTATATATTTTATTTAATTAATAAAAAGCAAAAAATTACTTCTCCGCCTTCGTTTTTGCGTTACGTGCTTTCATGTACTTAACAACAATCTTCTGTTCTTCGATTAGGAAAGCACGGACGATCCTGAAAGTAGTGGGAATGTACAAGTAAGAAATCTGTGAACATCTTCTATAAATACAAAGTACTAGAACCTCACCTTTCCTTCACACATTTGTGACAAAGTACACCGCCATATACACGTTTCACCGTCTTCTTACGTCTGCACATTCTAGACCTCTCCATGGGCCTAGCAGGCTGGATGCCTCTAAGCTTGTCTTTGCATAGACCACATCTTGGGATCTTCTTCGGTTTCTTAAGATACTGGTATACTAGTTTCCCACCAGGAGTGCGTACACTACAAGAATACATTTGAGTTAGGATAACAAAGAAGTATGTATGTAGTCATAAAGAATGGTGAACAATGAACAATATATTAAAAATATTACTAGTATATTCATGACCATAACAAATATTTTCTTTTTAAGCGTAAGCTACACGCGGATATTCTACACATCCATAGCATATCAAAACATAACCTCAACAAAATAAACCAACAACTGTACATGAAGTTACGCTATTTAAATCTTGGAAGCGACGAATATAATTGGAACCAATAATGGTAACGTTACTGTATTTAGCTTAAATAAAAAAATAACACTTACACGCGTCTCCTGTTGCTTTTTGTGTTGTATGACAAACGTCGACGATAGGTTAACCGCTGCACCATTTTGGTTCTGCAACACGCATATTTTGTTAGAAGAAAATATCACGCATATAACAGGAAATAACATTCTTAGAGAATGAAGATCACTAAATCACTATAAAAACAACGTTAGCCTTAGTGATTGTTACAAATAACACGGATAACAATGATCAGTATTAAAATCCAACAAACCTTTTTCAGAAGCCAACGGAAAAGGAAGCGAAAGGAAAGGAAAAACTCGATTCTACGCAAGCGTGACAGAGATCACAGGAACCGTATAGACATCTAACGGCGAAGTTACAAAACTAATGGAAATGTAGACAAAATGCAATGGTCAGAAAATTTAATACTAATGAAATAAGTAAACAATAAAAATACCTTTCATGCAAGATAATTTTCTAATTAGTTCTCCATTACTATACTGTAAGAAACTCAGGTCAAAATTGCGTAGCAAATAAATATTTAATAAAATAAGAAGACAAACTCAATAAAGTGTGTAGTGTCGCCATCGATGATAAAACGTTGCAAGTGCTAGCAGAGATTTTTAATTCTTACCGATCTTGGATACAATATATTTTCCCTCCCATCGGTAACACAGACTGTCTGTGCTGGACATAGGATAATAGAATTTCATGTCTGATAATATGGAATGCATATTTAATGCAAAAATTCATTGGAAAATATTTATCTGTTAAAAGTTGTTTCACCCCTTTTATTTCATTAATTTTTTTAGGTCGTAAAATCAAAATATGAGCCATTAATTATTCCATTAAATAATTACATACACATATATTTGTTTACTCATTTATAAATAAATATTACTTGATTTTACATTAACATGTACATAAATATTCAATGAAAAGACAGAGTCGGTAAATGAAGCAATCTTCGTTTGTTTGGTTCGTTTTATCTAACTGTTACATTTTTCCGTAGAAAATTATATAGAGCCAGATAATTAATGTGTTAAACGTAATAAGATGTACAGATGTATATTACAAATTTCTATGCCACCTACGTTTAAGTGCGAATTATATGTATTTATTGAAGAAGTTTATTAATGAAAGAAATGACATAATCTATGGTGATAGTGGTATCTATATTAATTTTAGTTTTACATTTAATTTATTTAATCCCCTGAGTTTCTGTTGCAGGAAACTTTATAAATGTAATGGTAAGGAAAATTTGTATCCCTCTTTTTAGGCCCTATTTCTTAAATTACATTCATCTACTAATCGAATAAGGCAGTTTCTCTTGCAGGGAGGACTGAGAGGGAAAATTCGATGGGAGAAATGGTATATATTTTAATTTTCATTTTAATTTAGTTTAGTTTATCCTTTATCCATTTAGTTTAGTTTAGTTTATTTAGTTTATTTTATTATAATAGGGAATATTATAAAGGTAATTCTAAGTAAAAATTGTATCCTCCGTCTTAGAATACATTTCTGAAATTACATCTATTTGCTAATCCAATGAGGCAGTTTATGTTGCAGAAGGAACTAAGAGCATTCGAAGATGGCACTCTGTGGAGCTGGAAAATGGAAGCAACCAGTTAACGTGCAACGCTGCTGTTCGAAGGATACACTCGATCGACAGTTCTGTTCCTTTTTAGCTTTATTCACTTTAACTTCAGTATAATATGATTTTCAGTGTAATTTAATTGTACTTCTGATTTAAATAACTTTAATCGTTTTTGTTACAGGCTACAAAATGTGTTACTATAAAAATACTTTTGTTTCAACTCTAATTCTAATGTATTTTTAATTTAATTTTAAACTAATGCCATTTTATCATCAACACATTATTAATGTATGCTTAATAAAATTTTTATTTGTTTCAGCTCTAATTGTAATCTATGTTTAATATAATATTAATCTAATTTTATTTTAACATTGACACACTATGAACTTATTGCGAATGGAATTTTTATTTAATGTTACTGCTGCTCATTTACAATTCCCTTGTAACCGTTTTACAAATTCGCATTCTATTTCAGAATAGACTCAAGAAAGAAGACAGCCACCGATGGATTAGTATAATGTTAACTGCGATAGGAATAAGTGCGTTTAGAATAAGTGCGTTAAATATAAGATTTCGATGCAGAAAGGGAGATCGGTGGAATTGAATTTCCACCCACCTCCCCGGGTGGTCTTCAATCGCAGTAACCTCCACGTGGTGAGACCTGGGCAACTAACATTCTCCTGAATAGAATGTGTCCTGTGAAGGATTATGTTAGGCTAATTGGCTGCGATAATTTTTTAATTTAAATGTGAAATACGCAATCATCGGCAGGGAAAGTATTTAGACGATATCTCTGTTTTATCATGGATGATGGAGGGAATTGTTCAACTTGTGTAATTCTTAATATATTCACTATTCCGGTACATAATTAAAATAAACGGAAATTAGTTAAGTTTTTAACTTCGAATGCTAGGAAAATAGTTAGACGGTATATCTGAGAAGTATGCAGTTTACAGATTAGTAATTAAAAAACCAGAAATTTCATGGAAAATAGTTTTCAAAAGTAATATGGAACAACGCTCTGGTTTCTCCAGATGTAAAAATGAATTGTTAGAGAATGGATTAGATCTTCGTTGATTATATTATTCAAGTAAACTGTGTTCATTTTTGGCATTCGTATTGTGTTCTTCTTTAAAATTGCGAATTCTGTTTTATATTCTGATGAATGTCTATAAGAAACTTCGAGGATATACCAAAATGTCATGATGAGAGAAATAAATAAAAAAGAACATGCTTTTTATTTATGTGTCTTTATTTGCACAGACCTGTAACATAATCATTATATGTGCAAAAAGAACAGTTACCATATCATTAATGTGACATAAAATACTTTGAACCGTCGAACGTCGAAATCGCCACACGGGAAGCTATAGATAAGCTAACGCAAAAACAAGGGCATATTAATGCACATGTAAAGATGGTTGCAGCTCGGAGGGGGAAGAGATTCGGTGGCGCGCGAAAGTGGCGCCATCTAGCGGCGGGGATTTTTTCGAAGCTTTTCCCTGTATAATAGTATATAATAATATAAAGCTCGGGAGCCATAATTACAAGAGGCTCAAACTAAACAAGCTCAAAATTTAACTCTAGGAATTTAAGCTCTACTACAAATGGCACAAAAGCTCGATGGCTCTAATCACGATAGACTCAAACTAACAAAACTTAAGATTTAAGGCCTTTAGCAATAAAAAATTTTCTATCCTTGTCACACAGTAGTTCTGTCCTTGTCTTATTCGTTACGGGGATAGTATATAGGAAAACGTTTAATTTGGTCTCTAGGAATCGGATAGTGTGATTACTATCCTACTATTATTATTAACTTTCTATTATTGATTAATAATTTTTATAATTGGTAAATATGGGGACAAGTTTTAAGAGACTATACTAATATATTGTAACGACAGTTTGATTATGTTTAATTAATTATTAACTTAATTGTGCACATGTGGTCCAGTGTTTTTGAAATTTTAGTTTTACTATGTTGTCGCACTTACCTACCTTCATTGTTGTGTGTCACATTTTGCGTTGTGGGTTGGATGCAAATTTTGTTTGGGTAAAAAGTTAATAAAGTAGAGAAAGTACATATCAATTGTTATTAATTTAATTTTGAAAAATGGCAGATGATGACTTTGATGGAGACGAGTAAGTATTCAATTAATTTCTCGTGCAACACCAGAAAGTTTTGTTAAGTGCTTACGCGTTTATTTATTTTATACTGTAGTTTTATTCATATTCTTTTGTTAATAAGTATTTTTAGTTTATACCATCTTTATATTGTTTTCGGTGAAGAACGTCGGAAATAGATTTTCCGATTTAATATATGCAATTAGAATAATTATAATATACGTAACATAACCTACAATTATAAGTTTTACAGCAGAACGTTCTGGATATTCTTACTGTTCTTGTTATACGTATTATGTATGAACACTATAATATCTTCAAACTTTATTTTTTACAGAGTAGCAGACGATTTTGATGATGTTGATGATGATGACAACATTGAATTAGAGCCTCAAGAGGAAGATGGAGAAAATATAGAATTATTAGCAGCTGGTGAAGCTACTGGTGGTGTGCAGAGATCAAAACGAATTACAACGAGATACATGACAAAGTAAGTAACTTGTAGTTGTTTATTAAAAAATAATAAGTATACAAAGTAACAATTGTTTTTTTATAGATATGAACGAGCCAGAGTGTTAGGGACAAGAGCATTACAAATAGCCATGTGTGCTCCAGTAATGGTGGAACTAGAAGGAGAGACAGATCCATTACAAATTGCAATGAAAGAGCTGAAACAGAGAAAAATTCCAATAGTTATAAGACGTTATCTACCGGATAACAGCTATGAAGATTGGGGCATAGATGAATTAATTATCATAGATCATTAAGCTCTTATACTCTTATATCTTGTATATTTCAAATATAACCATCTAAAATAATTTAAAAAATATTGGAATTTATTGTATCAATAATATTTCAATTCTTGTATAACTGGATATTTGTACAAAAAAATTGAAAAATAATAAACTTTGTTTTTCATGTAAATTTCATATTCTTTTTATATGTATTCATCACTAAGGCCTTGAGATTTAAAATTCATGATATTAATAGATCACGATTTGAATCTGGTGAGAATAAACAACTAAGAAAAAGTCACCAAAGGTTAGGGTGTCATGTTATGGTGAAATAATTTAAATTCTTTGTGTTAATGTCATTTTAAAAACATATATGAAGTATTTATTTAACAAACTGATAATGGAAGTAATCTGCACAAGTATGTGAACCATTTTATCATCAAATTTATCAGAGTAATTACAGATAACAGAGACAACGATTTTAAATGACAGTGTGCTGCACTACAAGTTCAATAATAATTGCGATAATTTATTTACATGGTTCGATACTATTGAAGAAACATAATAATATGATAATTTCTATAAATATATGTAGAACATGACGTGGTGAGTGTAAAATACATTATTTGTGAGTGTATATTAATTCAGAGGTTAAGACAGTCATCTTTATTAGTATTGCGTTAATATATACAGGAATCCTTTGAAGAGAAATCATTTAACGCAGAGACCTAGTCCTGCTCAACCATTATTATCCCATGCAGAGGACAGAGAACTTGATATTGCTGTTCAACGACTTATTTAGTATGTATTAATACCACTACATTTATTTCAATTCTAAAATAAATTTGGTGATTAATTATTGAAAGTACTAATATATATTTTATTATCTCCTGTATTAAACTATTATCTGCTTTAAGTGTTGAGGATACAATTAGGAAACTAACAAAGGAAATGAAAAAATATGTAGAAGCCGTTGTAAACTTGGATCGAGCAGATCAAAGACTAACATTAAATTTGACAACTTGTGGCTTAGGTCATTTGAGTGATGAATTTAGAAAGGTATTGGAAGATTATCATTCTGTTACAACACAGGTATGTTAAATAATATATCTCCTATATATATATACTCATAACAAAGTTAAGACTTAAGTTCTTTAATAGGTAGGGAAGACTGTGCAAGAAATGGCAGTTCTTTGCCAAAAGACTTTTATAGAACCTCTGAAAAAATTGCGTGATGAGTTTGCTTTAATAGCTGCTGCAATAGCTAAACGTGAGGAACTAGTAACTAATTGGAAATACTCTTACAATCGGGTAAAGAAACTACAAGAAAAGAAAGATCGAACTGCTAGTCATATTGCAAAATTGGAAAGAGAACGAAGGACAGAAGAAGCAGCTGCGAAAGACTTAAAGATTGTACATGCTCAATTACTTGCTGAATTACCTTCGTTTCTTGACAAGAGATTAGAATATATTAAGCCCAGTGTACATGCTTTAATCATGATACAATTAGACTATTATGGAAGCACAACAAAATTATTTACGCAATTGATGCCACTTCCAAATGTTTTGGGATCACCATCTAGTGCCATGGTACCAGAGGAGGAATACCAACAATTAGTGGCTAATGAAATCAACAGAATAAGAGCACTTACTATTGTTAAAAATCATTAGAAATTAGCAGTTGTTTACTAACAATTCAATGAAATAATACATTGTATATCGACGGGACCGAATACTATAAAATTGGCGTAGGTACGAATATATTTATCACATGGCAGTATTTACATTGTTATTGTAAAAGTATAGGTACATTTAAGATGGAATCATTCCACGATTTCTTTTCCATTGGGCGCCGGAACGACGATTGTGATTAGCACGTGATGCTTTATGGACGTTCTTGTGTTGTCTATTATGCAAGACATCCTTCTCTTGCCCTTGACCTTTCGGTTTACCTGTTCAATGGAAATCATGTAATAAATGTTTATAATTTTTCATACAAAGGATACGGCCTTTATAAAATGTTCCATGAACAAATACACATATTAATAAGTCGAATTTACCAGTCACATTAGTTGGAGCTTTCCCGCCACGCATGGCTTGTCTTCGCTCTTCAGCTTTTGCGCGTAACTCAGCCGGATTCTGTATAAAATGGTCTCTGCCGTTTTGTTCAGCTTCTGTATCATCTTCTTCTGAATCAGTTTCATCCACAGGTTCAACCTTTTGTTTTTCTAGAAGTACCTGCAATTTTGCATATAATACTTTTAACAATTCGAATCGTTCGTGAATGTATTTTATTAAATTAAAGAAGAGTACGAACTCTGGGTGTAGTAAAAGGCTTGGAATTAATATCAGCATCATTTTCTGCGCCTCGTACGTCGAAATTGTCGTACGTGTCATCATATTCATCCTCATAATCGTAATCGTCCGCGACAAGGCTGTAACTGTAATAAGATTTGTTTGTTTTTACGTTAAGTTCCATAAAAAATGTAGCTTTTATCAATGTTACTGTACACCGTTGTTATTTTTAAATAAATCATTTTTACATGTTATATATATAAATGAAAAATTAATTACGCCCTCTATTCTTCAACTTACTTTTTAAGTATGTAATCCTTAGGCACCTCAATTTCTTCACGCGTTTTAACAGGAACATTATCATCATCGTCACTGAACAAACTGAGATTTTCGATACCAGAAACTACATAGTCATTAAATGGCGCCTCCTACAAAAAATTACTTAAATATTATTCGTATTAGGTTATAGCTTGTATCTACAACAAAAAGAAACTATTTAAATACCCTATAATCAGGTGGTACATCGTTTACTCCAGGACAAATGTCTTTAAATTCTTTCAATTTGGATGGTAAATTGTCTTCTAATACAGCGTTTATTACAGATGCAGTATCAAAATTGTAATATTCCAAACACATCTATAGAAATAAATTGTGTTTATACATTTTTCTATGGTATGTTCCTTTGTCTTTATTGCGTCGAAATTATTTTACCTCAATAAAACGTTCATCTAAGTCATATAAGATATCCTTTACTTCAGAAATGAGGGATACTAACTCAACAGAGTTCTTGCTGACAAATTTTTTTTTATTCGAAGTATTTGCATTCGTCGTGGGTGCTACTGATCTATTTTGGATGCCGCTAGGTCCAGCTACAGCTTCCTACGAAAGACGGATATTTTAAAAAAATGTGAAATATTTTTTATATTATTTCTACTTACGTTTGTGTGATTGAACAGAGATGAAGTAGTCGAAGTATTGGGTTTTCCAATAGTTACTCTTATTGATTGTAAAATGAAATCACATTTTATGACATCTCTATATATTCATTAAGTATTCAAATTTTGATAAAACCTTGACATTTTAATTATGATGACATAATCGTGTTGATTAAAAAAAGGATACAATTCAGGATAAATAGTAGATAGTACTTTCAGGTCTGATTCAACTGGATAAAACTGATCATAATCTGTAATGAATTCTTTCTCAGAAATAGCATATGTTAAAAAAGTAAAATATTCTTCCACTTGTTCTTTTACATCTGCTTCTGATATTGTATTTCTAAATATAATTATATGATTATGTTTCTTTTCATTTTTAACAGGGAACGTTCAATTACTATTGTAAATATGGATATACTTACAAATTGTCTTGTATGATTTGTACTGGATTATATAAAATCATTCTAAACAGGTTTAACATCTCAATCCTTGTTACATCCAATAGATGTTTCAATTTTATATACTTTGGTATATTTTCATCATTGTATCCTAATTTATCTAAATTCTTATACATCTCAGGTATTGTGCTCTCATATATGGAAACAATTCTAGTTAGTTATAAACAACAAAGTAGATTAAAAAGTGATCAAATTAAGCTAGAATATTAATTTCTGTACTTACTTGCTCATAAAATCCTCTCTGTGAAATATGCTCACAGCAGGAGAATAATTTTTTAAGAACACAGAGGTTGTTGAAAATATATCTAATACATACAGTACCATATCTTCTAAATTAAGTAGTGTAAGATTCTTAGGGCCTCTGTTTTGTGCGGACAGTGAAAGTGCTTCACTGGTATCATGAACAGTGGAACAACCAAACTTGTTTTCAACATTTTCAAGAGCCTACACTAACAATATTTATGTTCAGTTCTACTCATGAAGGCAATAATTCATTTGAATATGATTATACCTCACCTGCATAAGACAAGGAACTGCTTTTTGTAAATCACTATTGTATTTTGGTTCTAATTCAAATAAACACTGTAAAATTTTCTTTGTTACTTTTTCATTTTCTCTGCCATAAAGTTGGCAGAGATCAAAAATAATGGGTACTGTAAATATGTACTTTTCATAAAGTAAATTCCCAAGAAATGGACGGCTTATGTACTCCGTAGGGCTCTCTTTGTTTGTAACAAGACGCGTGAAAACCACAAGTACATAGTACCGGACTGTCTCTAGAAGTTCCAACATTTCTGGACAATTTGGAAAATCTTCTAAGGCATAAAATGGTGGCGCTTCTTGTAGTAAAGATACCAATGAATCTAGTATCGAAGTATTGTGTATAATGTTTGACCAAAATCTAAATAAACAATGTGCAATAATGTAGACAACTAATACATTCATAAGGAAAATGCATAAGAATTTATAATATTTCTGATATTAAGAATCAAAATTATTTTACACTATGTAAGAGTCATAAAATGTTTTCAATCTTATTGAAACTATTGAATATACTTACCTAAAAAATGGAAGACTGAGTAACCATTTTAAATCATTAATCATGTAATGAACAATTTTAGTCCAACGTTCCTTTGCTCCAATAATTTCTGATCCATCTTTATTATAAATGTCAGGAGCTTCATAGTTCAAAAAGTAACGATCATCTGCCCATTTATTACTCTAAATGTTATTAATAAAACAACATA